TTTTATTTTTTTATTTTTAAAGTACCGATTTAAAGACCGTTTAGGAACCGGTACCATTTTGAAAGTATCGATTTAGCACCGGTATCGAAATAAACCCTTTCAATACCCAACCCTAGTGGTCGCTCACTGATGTCATCAGTTCATTATCATTTTTTGAGCGACAGGTTTCTTCTTCTGCCCAGCTTTGATACTGTTTCCCATGGCGACTCAGAGGGGCATCTAGAGGCAGGCTCTCTTCTACCCTCTTTGCCACCTCCATGTATTTTCTGAATGATCTGAGGGGCACAACATGCATTTGTCTTGTGGATGAGGCTTGAGGGAAAGGCAAATAAATTAAGCTGATCTGGTTCTCCAAGCATTTAGCTGTATGAGATTTTCAAGTTGATAGTTTCAGAAACAATAATCTAAAATTGTATAAGGGTTTATTTTGTTTATTAATTGTCATTTTGGTGTTAATAACAAATTAAACTGACCGTCTGTCAACAGGTGAGAAGATGCGACCATGGCAGCATAGTAAAACTACATAGCAGCAACCTGCGACCACTTCCTCCCTCTTTGATTGGCTCCATGGCGCTGGAGTGTGCTCTAAAAGGCATCAGGTTTGTAGCAATGTCACATACCACAGAGCTGTGAAGAATATTTTTAGATTAATCTCGATGTGGGTATTGTTTGTGCATCAATGTAGTGACAAAGCATAAATAAGAGCAAGCAGCCAAACTCAAATTATAGTTCTAGCTTCTGTATTATGCTAATGATGCTAGAGATAGTTACAGTGGAGGAATGCAGAAGTTAGCAGGAAGCAATAAGCAATTTGTAAAAATCTACCTCACAAACCAGATTACTTAAAAAATAATTTATAAGATGTATTTTAGTTGTTTTTCAACCTGATCTGCTGTTTGAAGACTCAGAAATCAACCTGTTTGACTTGTGAGATAAGAGAGAATGAGATGCTATAAACACTGTCCTCAAAGCAGGGTTCCCACATGTCCTTAAACTGATTTTTTCAAATTCACAAACTTTGAAAGATTTCTAAGCCCTCATCCTTGAAAGTCCTTGAATGTTTTTTGGGTATTTGAAATTTGTGGATTTAAGTTCTCCACTATGGATTTCTGTCATCTGTAAAATTGAGAGAAAAAAATTGTATTTGTTGTGGTTTTATCCATCCAATCTAATGATGATACAGGATTGAACTGACGTGCCTTTCAACAAATGGCATGAACCAGAGGCATAGTTTTACCCACTCTGAGCAGGGCGGGGCAGGTTGTTCTTTTTGAACCCAGGTGAAAGCGCCAGCAGTATACGGACATGTTTGTATGTGACTGCACCCCCTCCTCTCACACTGTGCCCCTGAACTTCCCCTTGTATTTTTAAAATCTAATGTTGAAATCAAGGCCAGTTCATGACTTAGACAGTTAGGCTGTACCTGTACCCCCCCTCCCTCCCCCTCATTTCTCTGGTCTCACTTGAGTGCAAAATTAACAAATAATGTCAAGAAAATATGTAGAGAGGAGCAAGAAAACAACACAGAGGTACAGTAAAATAAAAGTCAAGAAATAATTCATACATAAATAAATTATAAATGTATAAACGTGAAACCAACCTATTCCTTAAATTGATTTGATTTTGATTCAAAAGGTTCTGAATTGATTAATCATGATTTTATTTGATTCAACATTCAACACCCACATTTATACATCCTAGGTGAAGGGAATTCATGATCAATAAATGGAAATCTGAAAAATATAACAGAAAACAGTTGAATATCTTCTAAAAGGACTTTATTCCCAATCCAACTCCTTTCAGCTCAACAGCAGTACAGGCAGCAGTCAGGCCTTGAGCCCTGATTTGATTGATTGATTGATTGATTGATTGATTGGTTGATTGATTGATTGACAGTTCAGAACACCCGTTCACTAGCCTGGCCCTTGCCTTTCTACACAGCTCCGCTCAATTCTACTAGTTTCGCTTCACTGCTCCATCTGGGATTTCTCCCATAGACAAGGATTTCTTCAGGAGAATTTCATTCGGGCCAATCAAACAGAACGTTGATTTTCTGCACAGTGTCTGCTAGTTAGTTTATCATACGGCAGTGGAGGAAGTGAATGAAGCCAGTCCGTGTTGATAAGGCTTCCAAATTAAATTAAATTTGTCTGACAAAGCAGCAGCTCTCATTTACAGTCGTCTCATTCAGCTCGGTACTTCTCTCCTCTTAGCAGGGTTGTTTACAGCACACGTGATTTCCGGCTAGCTTCTTAGCTTAGCCTCAACAGCGGCCAATTGATCCAATCATTTTAAACTTCAGCAGAGGCCAAGCCTCCAGCAAGAATCGCTTCTCTATAGCCAAGAGTCCAGACCCTCATGAAGCAAAGTAAAGAACAAGGGTCTGGTTTTTACTAGGGATGCACCGATCCACTTTTTTTTAACTTCCGATATCTGAGATTTAGTATCAGCCGATACAGATCCGATCTGATACTGAAAAACAGCATTAATTGAAACATTTCTTTCCTATTTAAAAATAAAGAGACATAAATGAACTACTGAATTGCACATTTATTTTATAACTATGCACCAGCAGCAGTACAGCAATCCTAAATACACAAACTGTCCACAAGCTTAGTCGAACACATTAAAAAAACTTTAAATTCAACTTGTTCAGTGAGTGCAATTAGGAATTCAAAATATTGTGTAAATAAAGAAGCTGATATTTAGGAAAATAAAAGTTAAGTTCAATAACTTGTTTGCCATATACAGCGGGTAAAATAAGTATTGAACATGCCACCATTTTTCTCAGTAAATATATTACTA